ATTGTTGGTCGAGTTATACGAATTAAGATTCCCATTTATCATCTATTTCCAAGAAATCTAAATAAAAGTTGATATATATTCATGCATGTCAAAAAAAAAAGAGCAGTCACGTTTATAAGAATACCAGTGAAGAAATTGCTTGCAGCCCCGCTGAACGTAGGCTTGTCTCCCTTTCACCTTCCCCTATTTCTTGAGCTAACTGACAAACTTTCGGAATAAAGCCTTCTAAGTTTGACATGTAAGTACTATCCTTCTGCAGAATTTGGTAAGATAAAAATGAGTTTGAAGCCTGTTGCATAAGCCTAATTACTAATAAAAGTAAAATAACTCCGCAAGCACGATAAATCATACAAGTAAACACTAAAAGTCTAAAACTACCAACCTGATTAATTACAAAGTCAAAAAGAGTCTGACATCCTAGAATTTGCATTTCATACAGCCGTGTTTGATCCAGCAGAGTCTGTATAATGCTCTGTAAACTAGTAGCAAATAGTGTCCTATAGAAAAAAGGATTGATAACGAGAAATCAAGTGAGTTCAAAGAAACAATTAAAGTAAAAAGAAAATAAAAAAATTATTTCAGCACGTTCGATTGAGATATTACCCCTGAAATTACTATACGGACGTTTTCTGTCTCTTGGTAAACAATGGAACATTATTAATATGAACAACTTTTAACAATGGAAACATTGATCAAGGGACATGATCACTTACATCTTTATCAGTACAAATAATAGAAAAACACTTAATATTCTCAAATGCTAGTCCAAACTCAGTAATTACAGGGAAGAATCCATAAAGGTATAACAAGTTTCAGCAAAAAGAGTATCATACTGATAAGAGGAGGCCTTTTCATTATTGAATGAAGAGTACTTTCCTTGTTGAAGTAGACTTACAATCTCATCTAAGTACAGTACTATATAAATACATATTAGATAAGAATTTGGAGAATTGAGGTTACTTGTTTTCATTATAACAGTGGTTAAAATAATGGAATACCAAAATCACTTGGATAAGGAAATGACAACATAAAAAAAAGATCCCATGATGCAATGGTCTAGATATTCCATAGAGTTTGCAACAGAAAAACTCACAGTTGGTCCTGACAAGAGAGCAACAACTTCTTGTAAATGCAAACGACGATTTTCACTGATTGAAAATTCTCGTTTCTCAACTCCTTGTAGAACCTTTGCTCAAGGGAATCAGTGATCTGGTCATACCATGTGCAAGAACTAGTTAGAAGGATACTAACATGATTAACTAGTATGAAAGATGATTTCAAAAGCAATATTAACACATCAAAAGCATGTACTTGGGGTTACAAACAAATTATACCTTTGGGATGCGTAACGGATTTTTCGAAACATATTCACAAAGTTTTTCTATTTTGCGATCATTTGGTCCATCCTCCTACGACATAAAAAATTCAACTTATGTGATCAAAAAAGTGGAAGGATATAGCTCAAAACATAAGACAAACCTATGCTAAAGATGCAAATCCTCATTCATTATAAAGATAGAGAATGACTAAAATGAGTGAATCACCATCTTATGACTAATGTTTGCTTAGCTAACCCTATTTAGTGATTGAATTAAAGTAGTTCTAATTGATCTGTCACTGAACTTTAGCCATCTGCATAGCCTGCATTACAAAGTAGCAGGTATACTACAGTATACATATGGAAATTTACATAACTCGAAGAGTTCAAACCTTGTTGAGAGGAAATATTTCGGCGATCAACCTCTTATACCTCTTGACAGGCTGCCGGGACCGTGCACGCAATGAAGGGCAAAAGACACACATGCGGCCACATGCAGGCAAGACTTGCCTCGAAATCACACCAGAGATTACACTCATTTTCTTTTTCTTAATACTTTTCAGATTTTTAAACTAACTAGCTAATGTAACTTCTCAATACCTCTCTGCTTCCTTTCCCTTCTAAATCAACAAAAATGCTTGGACTTCAATGCCCACAAGGGAAATAAAGCTTGAAAAAACAATGGGATTCCTTTGAAACCCAATCACCAACCTGTCAACAACAATCCTGGTATCACAACTTCGATCCTCTAAATCAAACCAAACTAAATTCTGTAGATCATAAGGTAGATACTAGATAGTATAAATCCAGCATTTGGGTTCATAAACTTTGATAAAACTACGAGTGCTGACAGCAGGGACGGACACAAGAAATTATACTATGGCTGCCAACTTAAGAAGTTATATTATGAATTTAGAGGTATGAAATTATAAAATTCCAGGAATACGAAATTAGATCTTCTACAAAAAGATTTGAAATTTTCTGGGATGCGACCCCAGCACTCCCTAAATTCATCCCTGAGTGTCAGCTTCCAAAACCCGGATCAAAACTTCATGAAACAAAAGGGTATCAACTGAAAACAACGTTGAGTAAAAAAGTTGATGACAACCCAACAAAAAAAATGGATTGATTAAACAAAATTAACAAAAGGTATCTATAAAAAAAACGCAGATTTTGATAAAATTAATGGGAATTGACCGATTAAAACTGGGTTTTCATCAGAACAAAAAAACAAAAAAGCAATTTCAAAGTTACCTCGAATCAATGCCAAAGAGCAGAACAGAGGCTGGAAATTCGTCTAAGCCATGCGAATCAATTTCCTCGTTTCCAGCCTTCCCCAATCAAACAATTTGCTGCTTTTCTTTCTAAAAATATGTGCTGGAATTAAATTATAATATGTAATTTGATTCTCTTAATGCTATAATTCAGTTCAGCGTTGCCGGCTGCCATTATATATATATATATATATTGATCACAGCACTCATTGTATGAACGAATCAAATCATATTAGTTAATGCTAACCTTTTAAGGTATTTATTTTTAAATTATCTTTTGTTTTAAATATTATCCATTAATATATTTATTGATTTTTAATATTAGTTCCCCGCGCGAACGTGCTGTGGTGTCTGCTCTTCGCTCATGATCGACCGTTATTTACCGGTCACTTCTTTTATTTTTTAAGGTAAAATTGTACTTTTGGTCCCTATGCCATTCTGAAAATGTGCTTTTATCTCTGTTTTTTTAATTTGTTATAATTTGATCTTTTATTCTTATAATGTCATTAGTTAACTTATTTTTTAAAATTAATTTTTAATTATTTAAATATATTCTTATATAGTTTACAAATTTTTAATTTTTTGTGAGAAAAAAAAACAAAATAATTGATGTTAGCATTGAAAAAAGACAAAATAGTTTATATCAACTTAACATATTCATCATTTAAGGATAAAATGACTTTTTGAAAAGTTTTGAGGGTTAAAAATATCATTAAACCAAAAAAATTCATGCAAACATGACAAATTAGAAGAGAGTAATGTTAATTTTTTATTAAGCTAATATGATTACAAAGTAATATTTATTCTAAATACTCTCAACTATTTGACAATGAACGTTCAATCACCTTTAGAGTTGTTGGTGCTCGAACTCATGACCTCTGGAAACAATAACAATTCCTTTAACAACTGAGATAAATCGGTTCGTGCGAGAGTATTGTTAATTGTTAACTAATTGGATTAGTTAATGTCAATATAAAAGTGAAAACAATAATTAAAGTAAGCACCACTTCCTTTTCCTTTTATCACCTTTGAAGGTAAGCTTCCTTCATTTCAATCCAATGATTATTCTTTAAATTGGTAATTATTGGGTTTACTTTAACCAACATGGAAGAAATCAAATACCATTTGCTCCTTTAATCAACGACGCAAATGCTGCTTGATTTAAATATATATTTGATATTTTAAAAGAGTCTTAATAAAAAATATAAATTAAATTAATCGATATTTGATTTATTAATTCATTGATTCCGATTGAATATCGTAAAAAATTATCATGAAAATGTCATCTCAATTCAATTTGTTTCGTTTATGATGTCATGATTTAAACTTCTAATCTTACTTAAAGACGATGATGTCTCATCTCGTTAGCATATCTAAATATGAATAGGTCTACTCTTGATTTATTGTGCTCGAAAATATGTCCTTCCTACTGTCAAGACAAATATATACGTGTGTGTGTGTGAAAATCAAATGTGGATGGAGTTCGTAATATGTCATCCAATTAAAAATCCTACGAACCAGATGAAAACTGACTAAAACTGCCAGTGCCATGCTAAACAAGGACACTTCTCTTGTCCAAAGGTGTGCGTTCAACCATTTTACCCGAAGATTGGCCGGTCTTACTCCCTATCCTCCCAGCCATTATCGGAGCAGGACGCTGCATGATCCGGATCGGAGTTCCGGCCATATCGAAATCTTCCTTCAAAGACTTGTTTATAAACCTTACATATGTATCAGAGAGCTTGGTGCTCCCACTCACTAGGGCGACGAAAGTGGTAGGCCTGGCTTTCACTTGAGTGAAATACTTGATCTTGGTTTGAGCCTGCTCAGTTGTCACAGTCGGATACGGACCAAAGGGAGCAGATAGGATCAGTCTTCTCTAAAAACTTCAAATTCTCATATATTTTAGAAGTTTTCTCTGTATTATTGTATTTTATATTCTGCATCATATTCACAGTTTTAGAACTTAGACGCCACTGTCGACAAGTCTCTAATGCCAAGTAGGAGCATCCAATAAATTGAGGGAAAAAAAGTATATGAAACGTGTTGGAATTCGAGTTTGAGTATAGTATGAAGTAGCTTAATTAAACCAAATTCGAAAATTCCGATTTTATTTTGAGCCAAACTCAACTTTAAGACGATAATATTTTATCGTGCTCAAATCAAAATTCAAATAATAAATTTCAATCAAATTCGAATTTTTCATTATTCAAACTCGACTCGGCTCGAATTCAGTCGAAGATAGTCTAATATTTCATGAAAAGAAGAAAAACTGACAAGAATATTATAACTTTCAATGTTATTGAATATTTCCCAAATATACAATAAATTGTTTCGTATTATTCTTTAACGTATATGTATTTACAGTCAGCCTAGACATTGTAATGATGTATCTGTATCTGTATCAGTATCCGTATCTGTATCCGTATATGTATTCGTATATGTGTATTTGTATGTGTATGTAAATACTTTTAGATGTAAAGGCTTCACGGGCATTTTGGAACAGTATCCCCTTCCTTCAATTTGACATTGTTGCAGACAGCTTTGGCTGCTCCATTGTCTTGGTACTGCAAGTTCACATTTTGAAGCACAATCCCTTGGCAGGGATGAATCTTGCTGCAATCGAATTTGATTGCAACTTCAGAAGAACTGGTCCCTTTGATGTTTTCGTACACCACATCTTTAACCTGAACTGCTGAGTTCTGCAACAAATAAAAAAAAAAACACCAATCAGTTTGAGGATTATTCTTTGTAACAAATAAACAAACAGCTGGTGTGCGTGGCTCCTTCGTTCTAACCTGTTCACTGCATGGTTTACTTTGATCACAGTAGTTCTGGTCTATGATGATTGGGTTCTTCACATTGTTCATCTCAATGTTTTGGAATTTGATGTTGCTTGCTGTTCCTGACCCTCCCTGCAAATCATTTGACAGTATATTGATCATATTCGTCTTTCGATTTTATTTTTATTTTTTAAGGATCGTGATCCGATATTCATATTCGAATATGTTTCGAATATGAGTACCTGCCATGTCTTGATCCTAACTCCATTTGTTGTCCCTGAAAGTTTAGCTCCATCAACAGTCACACCGGAGACAAAGGCCTTTGAATTTTTAGATCCTAAGCTTCCAATACTGAGTTTCAGTCATCATAAACAGATTAATGTAAGTAAATTTACGTATATATACATACATAGATAGATAGATAAATTTATTTCGAGCTAAAAGACCTAATTCCATGACCCGGACCGCAGGTTATGTCGGTAGCTTGCACATTATTGGATCCGTTTACAATGGATACGCAATCATCACCTTCAATTAACAAACAAGAACATTTTGAAGTGTTCATATTCGAAATTCGAATCTCAATATATGTGACTCGTAACGAATGAAGAGCCTATACCGGTTCCTATGACGGAGCTTGTGACTTGGATGTTCTGCGTATTCGTGATATGAATCCCATCGGTGTTCGGGCTTTCCTCCGGGGATGTTATCTTGAAACTGGATGCTCGAACGTCGGTGCATCTTTCGAAAGAAACATGGATTTGTTGAGCATTTTGAATGTTCAAGTTCCGAACTACCAAGTTCTTGCTCTTGTAGAAGGTGAGAGCCTGCATCATATAGGGTTTTTCAAGTACCAGTTATAATTATAACATTTTATCTATTAGACGAACTGGTTGTTGATTGTCATTTATCATTGCACCGATGATTAATCGACGATTTTAACGACGGATTTCGTTAAAGAAAATAAAGGTGAAAACTTTAACCTACCGTTGGAGCACCCTTGCATGGCTGCAAAACAATGCAACAAAAAATGTCAGCACGTATTTGATCGGAGAAACAAATATAGAGCAAAGAAGTAGCGTTTGACGCCATGAAAGAGCAGGGACGAACGTAGGATATAATGTTAGGGAGAAAATTTTATAAAATTTAGACTGTGAAAACATATTATCAATAAAAAATATAAAAGAAAAATCTAAATTATACGATAATTTGAAAATTTCAGAAAATACGATCACCCGCTAGCTACTCTCAATCCATCCGTAAGAGAGGATAATAAGCTTACGAGATTTTTGTTAATTTTGCATGAATTTTGCCACCAAATCTTCCCATTGCCATTAATCTTCCCTCCACCACCTTCGACCAACAAATTATCAACTCTATCAAACACAAGCCAGTGTCTGCTATCTTTCTTGTAATCCGATCTATCATCCGATGCCACTATGTTCCCATACATCTGCAATTTCAACAGTAAACACGAGTCATGTCGGTCGGGTACATGCGTTGATCTGGTACGTAAAATGAAGAATCGGAACAATATCGAGACTAACCCGTATAGTAAGATTAGACTTGCAGGGACCTGAGAATCTAATAGGCTTAAGAACATAGTTCTTCCCTTTAGGAACAAGTAGAACAACAGCACCTTTAGACGAGCAAGCTTTCGTCCAAGCTTTCTCGAATGCCTCGGTATCATGAGTCTTATCACCGGTTGCACCGAAACCATCGACATCAACAACAGTTCCGGTTAAAGCCGAAGCGACGGTGTACCGTTGGAAGCTTGACACCATCATCGAATCGTCAAGCTTCCCGTAATACCAAGGGTAAGCTCGTGGATCATAGGCATCACCCATTTCTTCTTCAAAATAATGATTTTGGTCTTCCTTGAAAGCATTGTAACGTGAGAATAAAGAAAAAGAAGTAAGGAATAATACTAGTAATTGTCTGATTTGTGGAGCCATTTTTGTGAATAAAAATTGATAAAATAAAAGGAAAAATAGAGATATGAAAGCTATTGGAGAAATGGGTATGGTTTGTGAGTTGGCTCAATGATGATAATTTATATTTATAGAGAAAAAGAACCAAATGGATAATGCTTTGTCTTTTGGACAAAACTCTTCGAGGTATGGTCCATGATGTACGAGGTTTATACGAAATAATCTCTTGAGGGTTGCCTCTAGCTTTTGCTTAGTGTATATTAAAACTGATTTGATTATCAACAATCATTTGGTATAGTGAAATGAAACATTCGATCTCTTAAGCAATGTTAGTAGGAGTTAAAATCATGATGTCTATGAATGGAGTAAATAGGGTTAGGAGGATAACCCCATAATAGATCATTAAGCCAACCATTGAATTGAACGTGTATATAAACTCACATGCCAAAGCCACCAAGTGCCCATGCCTTTGATCTTCAAACATGTTAAACCAGGCGCAAGTAACTAATCAACTTATATATATTATTAATTATTTAATTAATTGCTTGTACAAATAGAAAACCCGAATGTGTCGCTTCGGGATTGGTCGATATATGCCACGTAATCCCAAAGACGTGCATCTTTGGCACACTTCAAATTAAGATGATTTTGCATCACATGGTGTTGAGGTCATATTTTTGGTGTAATAAAGAAGATGAGATTTGGAATATTTGAGAATACACTCTCTTATTTTTAAAATAGTACGAGACGATTACAAGATAGTATTTGTTGATAATTTTTTTTTAAATTATTAATAACGTAAACACCCTACAGATGCGGTTGTTCGAACTCAATACCTCTAGAAAGAATAGCATTCTCTCTAACCATTAAAGAACACTTGGTGGATTCAATATTTAAGAATATGTTGAACATACATTAATTCATACTTATATTTAGGATTGAGCAACGAAATCGAGAAAACTAAAAAATCCATCTGAACGAAACCATGCAGTTAGTTTTGGGTTTTTCATTTTTCGATTCGGTTTCGGTTTAAAAATATTACTATGCGCTTCAATTCAGTTTCAATTTTTTCATATGAAAACTGTTTGTTTCTAATCAAACTAAATTAAAAAAAGAAAAAAATCATATTCAAAATAAATTTGTTTTGAATTTTTTTTTGGATAATTTAGATGTTATTACCCAAAGAACAGAGAACTGCTTCAAAAAACAATCAGTGTTCAGAGTACAAGGATTGCCCTAAATCAAAAAATGACAATCAAACAAAATCAAACTATACTCCATTGATTACAAAGATTAATATTAACAATGTCTAATATATTAATAGTCCTTCCCCTTAGATGAAATCCAACAATTTCCTTGATAGTATTGAACATATCATCAACATTTGAAGCTCGACCTTGAAAATAAAATCTTAAAACTAATAATATTTTTTATAAATTTAAATTTTTATATTTGTAATCGAATTAAGCTTTAAATTTTTTTAGGTCAGCGGTTCGAGTCCGCTTATCTCCTTCAAATATACAACATAACTCTGGCAATGCAATGGAGTTAGGTTTTCATACGGATCCAAATGAATTCTATTCTCATATTTCTTCCTTCTCCTTTCTTCAAGGACTCTCTCGTACTTAAGCATCTCCGACATCTCTCCTAGAGAACTTACGTGCCCTTCCTTACAGGATCATCCTTTCTCCTTCCATTTAAGTCGTCACTCAAGCTAAGGTTTCTTGTTGCATCAGTATATATCAATCATATAAACTTATGTTTATTTAATATCGATAAATACCGAACCCATCAAGCGATTTCAATGGTTAAAGGATGTTGTTCTCCCTAAAGACCTCAGGTTCAAGCAACTATGTCTGCAAGGTGTATGCACGTTATTAATGACTAAGAAAGATTCAGAACATATACTACGTTGTAATAGTCTTAGACTATAAAAAAAGTATCGATCAATATCAACTTATATAGATACGTAAAACAAATAAAGCAAACGAGTCTATGCCAAGAATAATAAGAAGACGATAGGTTTCTGTTATAACATTTGGGTATCGTTATTCTTTTTTCTTACATCAAAAAGGGAGAAAAGAACAAGACACATTACTTGATTGTTTTGTCAAATTGTTTCGGCCAAAATAATTAGGTAGTATGGTACAAAATATTCAATTGGAATATCTAACTGTCATTTGCCCATACCATGAAGTTCTTGGCAACTTGAATTGTACATCAACAAAGTCCAATTCTTTGATCTTAATTTGATGGGCATTTACCAAGAATACCTAATTTAGTGTCATAGTCATCTCATAAACTTTTTATATGATTTATATTTTAATCTTTTGGTATATCATTTGTATATAATTTATTGATCATCGTAATTAATGTACCCCATCTTCTTCAACTCAGTCTTTTTCGTTTACAATGTCAACATTCAAACTAATAGACCAATTAATAGTTTGATCATTTATTTAAAATTAATACTTAGATTAATCATCCTGACTAATGACTAATGATTCTCCGTTTAATTCAAAAAGATCATATTGTTATCGATATCCACAACCATTATTTCTTTCATCGTTAATCTAACAGTTCTAAAAATATAAAAATATAAATTATTGGTATATAATTTATCGATATCCCATATCATAAAGTTCTTGGCAACTTGAATAAGACACTAACCCAGACTTGAATTTGATCTTTCATTTTATGGGCATTTAACAATACTACCTTTTCTTTTTATCAGTTTGGGGTGAATACAGTAATAATATCTGATCGAAGACTCTCAACTATTGATATTAAACACTTATATATTTCTGCATATGTATGTGGTGCTCAAACCAAAGACCTCAAGGAATAACAACAATTATTGTATTTATGATTTGATGAGGGACGAGATATAAATACATACATTAATTGATTCTTAAATCAGTTATACAGTTGCAAATTACGGTTATTAAAGTTCCCAAAACAAAAACATAAAATCAATTGCTTTCTCCAATAATAATGGGTTCTTTAAAGAACCCATTTAAATCAACGGGGTTGATTTAAATAATAAGTAATTTGATATTGTTTAAGTATGTCACGAGTTTGAGGTTTTGTGTATGCAGAAAATCTTTGTTGGGAGTCTCACCCGCTAAAATCAAGTGTTCGACATGAATCGGTCCAGATTAGTCAGGACAAAGTCCTGGGGAACCGAGAGGATTAAATCTATTGGATTGAGTTAAAATTACAATATGTAAGTTACAAGGATCAAGTGTGAAATTATACTAAACTTTTTAACTACCACATCATATTCTTCATTAAATGTTAATGAATGGTAATTTAATTGATATCATTTAAATAATTAAGTGATTTGATTGACAAAATTAAAGAACCGATGATTAAATTAAAATCCTTCCCTAATTAAAAATGATCACGAGTGTAGTTTACTCTAATACATATTATAAACTCCAAAACAAAAATAGTAAATTGGGAAGACATATTTCACGGAAAAGGGCTTCAATTTTGCGAAATTTACTATTTACCAATTCACTATGGGTGGCTTTCGCTTAACAATTTGGACTACCGAAACAACTATAAAGATTGAGTGAATCTTGTTGAGGGAAAGCAAGTTTTTAGAATCTGCATTTTTAAGGGTATATTACACATTTAGTACTTAAACTATCAGTTTTGGTATGTTTTAGTACTTAAACTTTTATTTTTTAAAAATTATATCTAAATTTTCATTTTTTTTTTCAAAACTCAAGTATGATTTAGGTACTAAACGTGCTTTGATACCTAGACTTTCATTTTTTTTAAACTTAACGGTAGAGTATTAAAATGAAATAAAAACTAAACTTTAGATATGATTTGTAAGAAATTAAAAGTTTAAGTACTAAAATGGATTAAAATTGATAGTTTAAGTATTAAATGCATAGTCTACCTTTTTTAAACACTCATAATTCTACGATAATATATGTTCACTCAAATGATAATAACATCTAAATTTGGATCAACTGTAATCATTTGCGAATATTGAAATATTTTTATGAGTGAATATACACAGGGTCGGGGCTAGGATGTTAGAGCCACTATGCAAATTCTTAAAAAGAGGTTATTTTTCGTAAAGTGAGTTAGACCCAAAAATATGAGGTAAGCTTTATTATTGGTATTTCTCATATCTTCCTTCGAACAAAGCTTTTTGAACTCTTTTTTGATAGTTTAATCATCTACGGTAATATCAATAACTTTATTGTGAACTTTTTGAAACCCTTGCTATTCTGGGACCATGTTCCGTCGCGCACATTATGCATGCCTAGCCCCACCTCCGAATATATATATATTAGCAACATTATTTTGAAAGGAATTAGTATAAATAAAATTTCAAAATTAACACAATTAATCAAATAAATAATTTAATTCAAAAAATAAATAAATTTCAGAGCCCACCCAAGTCAGACAGACCCGCCATTAATTATAAATAAATTAAAATGATAATATATAGTTAATATATTCATAATTAAGCTTAAACAACTGCAATAATGGCCACTAAACAAAAGCACCAATCCAGACAAGAAGAAGCGTTTATATTTCAACTGTACAGCACCAAAATACGTGGTTCCACCCCCACCACCTTTCACCATTAACAAAAGTACCTCAAATATCTCACCACACTTCATGCACTCAACCATCATACAACACATACATACATAATAGAATGTATATACGTTGATTATAGGTGCAACTCTTGATTGCAAGCCCTCTATTATAGGGTACCCTACAGTTGAAAAGATGAAGGTACGCTCACTTAAAGAGGCAATTAAAGTACACATGTATATAATATTGGGTAATGTAAAGATAAAATTAAGGGTCTCAAAAGAAGGAACGTTTTGTAGGTGATCGCCCTACAGCTCTCATCAAATTGGCAATTTCAAGAACCTTTGCAACCTTTGTTCCTCTATTTGCCTCGGCTGATGCTCTCCTCTCTTCCGCTTTCCTGTGTGCTTTTGCGACGTCGTTTTGCATCTTTTCTAGGGCTTTTGCCCTTTTCTCCTCTAGCTTCCTCTACATACACACACCATGTTAATGTTTATATGTTAGTCTAATAGTAGTTTAGGTCCCTATTAATTTAATTTTTGAGAGTAAATATTTAATGAGTCTTTATTATTTTCGAACTTATGTAATTTGTCCATAATATTTGATCCTAGCTCAGTTTCTACTTATGATACTAACAATAGCTCATAATTTAGTTATGACGTACATGTATCTAACCTAAAATTTTTCAAACTTGACTAAGGGTGATCAAATAATTCGAATATGAAGGGCTTTAATTTAACTCAATCATATAGGTTGATTTTCTTTTAAATTCGGGTATGGGATGGATTTTGTAATTGAGAGAGTAGGGATCTGGACGAATTTGTATTTAGGGTAAAATATTATTTGACTCTATTGGATCCGGTCCAGAATCATTACAATAATTCTCTTTCTATATGTTTAGGGATGATTATTCATGTTAAGCCAAAGCGGAGAAAGATTTTCACTTAAAATTTAAGATGATTTTAGGACAGATGAAACACCTATTAAAATTAAGACGAATTTGAATTAAATAAAAATTAATAATTTTCGAGTCGTACCCATGAGTCCATGACACTAATAGACACTAACAATTTAGTTCATAATGTAATGTGTATATAAATATCATATTTCCACTTATAACATAAAGAAAACAAAGCACATGAACTTGATGAAGAATTTGACTCAAAATCAAGAACAAATGATAATCATTACATGAAGGTTTCCTTGACAATTGAGTCATCAATTAACTAATCAATGATAATTTACTCAATGAAAACAAATTTAGGGTTTTGTACTACACCTAATCATTAGCCCATAATGTTGACGAAAACGGGTAAAGAAAACGAAAGAACACGAGAATTTTACGAGGTTCGGCAATGTGCTTACGTCCTCGGTGCCTAGGCGGCGCTAGAAGTTTTATTCAATGATTTTTAGGTCTAGGTTACATCTCTATTTATAATAGAAAACACTGGTACATAATTACAAAATCAACCCTGTACCGTACCGCGGGGCTACGCCCCCGCACCCCCAACCCACATAATTTGTAACCCCACAACGAGACTTTCTTTGTAAGGACAGTTGATGTTCACTTGGCTCACTTCGCTCCATCTCCTGTCCTCTTTACTGGTATATTTATAAGCCATACCTAACACATAATTAAACCATTTGAACAAAGCACAACAAGGAAAATGAAAAGAAAAAGATTTTCTCAGAATCCAAACATACCTCAACTTTCTTCATCCAAGAGGTAGCCTTTTGGACTTGTTCACATTCCCACCCATTAATCACAGCATCCTCCCTCTTAAACCTGTTATTAGTCTTTGCAACCTTAGCGTTTTGCCAAGCAGATATTTTCGACTCCACCTCCTCTTTCTTCACTCTCAACACCGATACCTCCCCATGGCTACCGCCGCCGCCACTCCCCACCGTCGCCGGATGCGACGGCTCTCCTGAACCGACCCGTCTTTGTTGATCCAAACCCTGATCGGAGTAAGTATTATCCGGCACTATAGCTAAAGGATTAGTTTCCTCATGCAGTTCATGGTCCTCTCCGATCCTCGTCAAGTGACTATGGTTGTTCAAAGTATGTATAGAATCCGAATCATTGTTTTCTATAGAGGAACCAGCAAGAACCAAAGCATTAAACTCTCGACTCATGGTGGTGAAGTTTTCGCTCGAGGCAACTTCGCTCGACGACGACGAAGGGCGGCTGGCGGTGTCCCAACGGCGACGGTTCACGGTCGGAGGATGAGGTGGGGTCAAAGCATGGATGTCCCTGATATGTTCATGATCATGAGCATCGTGACCGTGGTGATGATCGTCGAGGTTTTGATCGTTTTCGCCATTGTTGATAGCTCTTTGAAGGGTTAACATAGTAGGGTTGGTTTTACCTAGGAAGGAGGGTTAACATGCATAGTTTATATGATAACATAAAAAATATTTTATAGTTAAAAAATCACCAATTTAGTAAAAAAATATAATATAAATAGTTATATAAAAATAAATTGTATTGGATATGAACTTTTAAAATGTGTATATATTAATCATTAAACTTTTCAAATTTATATTATAATCATTAAATTTTTATTTAAAATTTATTATAATTTATTGTCATCCACTATTATACAAAATTTGGAATGATACGTAAGTTTTTTCATTAAATATTAACGATAAATAATTCAAATAATATCACCTAAACATTTAATATTTTGAGAGATTAAATTAAAAAAAATCATTAATTAGTTTAAAATTGGTCCATAATTGAGTAATTATGAGTATATTTAACCTATTTTTTAATAATTTTATTAAATTGTTTTTGTGGCTTTTAAAAAGAAAAAAAATAATAATAAATACAAAAACAATAGTATATAATAAGAAGATATGTAGACTTATTTACTATTAGCGTCGGCAAAAGGGATTTGAAGAGGAGCCCCACTAACAGTAGGTAAAGGCGTGTGGACCATTGACTATAATTCACGTGCGTCACACATAATAATCATTCTACAGTTATGATTTCCAGGTGTCATTCATCCATAGGCTTAAGGTTCATCAGGTAGGCTACGTTATTTCCCGCCATGCAATCATTGACGTAATATTATAAAATGGGAGCCACGTGTACGGTTAAACCCATTCTTTATTTTTTAATAAAAATATATTTTTTAGGTTTCAAGATGCCCACGTCTCACGTGACTAAAGATGGGTATGGGACCTGAATTAAATGGGTTTCGACCAGATTCGATCGGGTAGGGTTTTTTAAAAATTTTAAGTTTGGGTCGGATCGATTTTTTAATGTAACGGGTCGGATTCAAGTTTAGGGTGAAAAATATCCGACCTGAAAAAATAATTAATTTTACTTTATATATTTATGAATAATTACAATAACACCCCTCTATATATATTTTTAATTAACTCACTATTTTTATTGAATAAAAACAATATTTTTTATTATTTCGGGTTGAGTCGGATTTTTAAGTTATATGTCGGTTTCAGGTCGGGTCGAGTGGACCAAAAATCCGACCCAACCCGACCTATACCCATCCCTACACGTGACAAAACTAATAAAACTTTGTTTTTACTATCAAAATTAAAAATATCATATCTTGTTTCTACATTAATTTATATATATATATATATATATATATATATATCCCAAACCATAAATTTTAGATTATATCGAGTTTTACCTAAATTCATTACGAGAGCGACTCTCTTAATCTAATTTGTATCATTCGTATGTGTCAAAATTTAAACTTTTGACATTCTTATGAAATATAATGTCTTATTCCACTAAAACAATTGATTATTGATAATAAATAATAATTTTTTAATTAATCACTAGTATTCGATCTTTGATAGGTTAATCTAGATCAAGTATTACAGAAATAAGAGCGATCATCTCAACTCAATTTGCTCCATTCGTAAATATCAAAATTTGAACCTTTAACATTGTTTAAGGAATTTAGTGTCTCATCTCATCAGACTAACTGGTTGTTGATAATAAATAATAATATTTTAAAAAAGTATTAACAATAAATTATATTTTATTATAATTATGATAAATAAATTATTTAAATTTAAAATAATGTTTTTCAAAGCTAATCCAATGGTGACAAATAGAACCTTAATATAATTACCTTTTTTTCTTTTGAATTTGGTGGGTCCAAAATTTTCATTTGATGTAATGGGAGTGTTACGTTTTTTTATGATAGTGGAATGTGACAAGTACTCTCCACTATTTTCAGAGCCAAAAGTGTTTCAACTTTCAAGGGATAGGTCCAACGTATCATACTTGGAAAGCTCTTTATTTCATTTACTATTTTATATTTATAAATATTTTAGTTTTAAAATATAAAATAATTAAAAATTATTATATTTAATTATTAATCAACTAATTTAAAATTTTATCATAAATATTCATTATGAGAACGATATTTTTAATTTAATTTGTTCTATTTACAATTTAAAGATTCAAACTCATAATTTTGTTGGTAATAATTGAACTTTATTAAATTTAAACATGCTTGATGCTACGTACTCCTATATAATGTACATATGACAATGTCAATCGAAATTAGAGGCGGAACACAAGCTAGACTAGAGGGGTCATGGCCCCAAAATTTAAAAAAATCTAATTTTGATCCTTAATTTTTTTTAGAAAAATAATCTGGCCCCTCCAAAAATTTAAAAATTCAAATTAAATTTTAAATTTCTTTAATGTTCTTAATTAAATCCCTCACATAATTTCTAAAAGTTTTCATTAAGCCTATCAAAATTTCAAAAATTGTAAGTATACCCTAATTTTTTGGGGAAAAATATAAACTAAACCCTTCAAATTTGTTAAAAGTCTTAATTTAAACCTCTAAATTTTTTAAAATTTTAAGTTGACCCCTCCAAACTCTATCAGCAAGTTCCACGATTGACCAGAATAAACTCAATCGACACATTGTTTACAATATTTTTGAATTATTATTTATTTAAATCACATATCCAATGTTTCCATTCTAATAAATAATATTTCAAACAAGGTGCATGGACAACCCAAATTTATTTAACCAATGAATGGTCTAATTAGTTGAACATTTTTCAAACTAAATTCCAAATTAATCTATCCATTTGGAAAAAAATTAAGTATAAAAGTAATAATATATAATTAAATAGTCCATAAAAGTGAACAAAAAAAAGTTATACCTATCATTTAAAAATATCAACAAAGCCCATTTTCATGAAAGGTAGAATGACATTTTTTGGCCTCCAACTTTATCAATTTAGTCACTTTAGTCTCCAAATTTCTATCAATTTTTTTTATAAAGTTAAGGGATCAAAAACAAATTTTACCTTTATAAAATTAAATTTTATGAATAAAAACATAACCTTTAATTTTAAGAAACAATAAAGTAACAAACAAGTCATATCAATACCATTAACCAACACACTAACATAATTAATGTAAACTATATCTAAAGAGATTTGCACATGAAATTAAAGCTTTAAAAAAACTTCTTTTCTACCTAATTCACTTGAATAACAAATTTATTTATCCATCCCTCAATTTAAATATAGATTTGTTGACAATTAAAAATATTATAGTGGACATTATAATGTACTTTTACATGTCAAATAGGTAAAGTACAAATCTGTTGCGGCGTTTGTTGGAAAAACGTCAATATAGATTAAACCTATTGTGGCGTTTGTTGGAAAAAAAAACCAATATAAATTAACCCAATTGCGGCGTTTGTTGGAAAAATGTCACTATAGATTAACCCACTTGCGACATTTGTATAAAAACGCCGCTAACATACCAATCTATTATGGTGTTTGTATAAAAACGCCGTTAAATTACTTTCTATTACGTCGTTTATTGTAATGAGCCACTATATATGAACCATATTGCAGCGTTTTTATGAAAACGTCACTAAATTATTGTATATTGTGGTGTTTGTTAAAAAAACGCCACTATATATAAACCCTATTACGACGTTTATATAAAAACGCCACTAATTTTACCATTTTTCGGCGTTTTGAATTAAAATGCCGCTATATATTTAAAGTTTGTGGTATTTATTCTCAAAACGCCGCTGTAGAACAATTTTGCTGTAGTGGGTGTTAATGAACATATTTTTGAAATAGTGTAGGATAATTACAAGTTATAATTCGTCGAGATTTTTTTTACCCTATTGACGATATGAATTCTTTAAAAAGAACAATATTTTATTTTATCACTAAAACGAGTCGTTAATTAATATTTTCTCTTACCAAACAATATAAATATCTAACCCAAATATTCTTTGAAGTCTTGAAATTTCAAGAGAAGTTGAACAAAATAGAGCAAAATTACAAGTCTAGAAACAAGTTAGGCCCAATAACATAGCAGCCTGCATGTCATATCTACGTGGCATCTGCCCCAGATTCATATAGAGACATAAGATTGAAGTTGGACAATAGAAACACAAACACCAAAGTAGGTCAAGCCCATTACAAATAATATTCATTATTTTATTTATTTATATATAATTTTAATATATGTAAAATATAAATATATATTACTTATATAACGAGAGGTATGATTCGTTACGTAATGTAAAACTAAAGAAGTTTTGTATTGATTTAATATTGTTATATGAATGAAAATAGACGATCGATGAAAGAAATAACAATATTAATCATAAAATTTTTAAATGAAATTTCATCGATTTTGAGTGAGTTTTGCGGAAAATCAATCTCAGAAGAAGAACGGTGAGTGAAATACGAACGTTTTAATATCGATCTTGCCGTAAAAGACGACCAGTGATTGGCTGCCATCGACTGCCCGAAAGTATAATATTAAAAAGAAATTGTTTAAAAGTTTAGCGAGAAAATCAATACAATACTAAAATTTAGTGTCTAAAACGATATCATTTAAACATTAATAATCGTCGTCAAAATAATATTATTTTAATATGAGCTACGTCAACAATTGTTAATCATGTTATATTATGTTACTAATCTAATGACGAAATAATACAATTGAATTTAAAACTAAAATTTAATATTATAGTAATTGATAATGTTTAGGGTAGTTTATTCTAAAGTGATTTATTCAAACTCATATTCTCATATGTAATGGGATATGGGGAGGTAGGTAGTAGACTACATCTAATATCAGGTTGAGAGCAACTTTCATGAAAGACTTTCGACAGTTAAAATTATGAATTATTCACGGTAAGATACGATCCTATGATCACAAGGTTAAGAGCCTTGCACTTTACTAATACGATCCTATAATCACAAGGTTAAGAGCCTTGCACTTTACTAATTGAGTTAGACAATTCTAGTTTATTCTAAAGTGATGAATGATATTAACTAGCGAAGTTTCTAAGCAATTTACAAGAAAATAAGAGCCAGCTTATAGGTTTTGGT